GAGTAACAACCGAGGTTCTTCCAGGCCTACCTACAAATAAGTCCTGAAATTCTGTCAGAAGATCCTGGAGCTCGATCTTTTGCTCCGGCTCTAACTGCGCTTTCGATATTAATTCTTTGATTAGTGGTTCACCATCCTCACCGTTTATGACTGATGCAAGCCCTGGAAGTTCAACTGGAATCTCCTCGGGGATGTTCACCATCATGCATACCACTGCCTCCCGTTCTCGGTATGGCTTGAGCAGATTGCAATGATACACTTGCTGTATCTTTCGCTTTCCGGGCAGGCGTATCACGTAGTTTGTGTCAGAAAGCTTTTCAACTACGTAGGCGGGACCTTCCCACTGCACTTCTAACTTGTTTTTCTGCGACGGTCGCAGTATCATTACTTTGTCCCCGACATCGAATCGACGGGTTCTGGCTGTGCGGTCATAGTACACCTTTGACCTATGTTGCGCTTAAGCCATGGCTTGCTCTGATAGCCGTTGAGCGCTTCTTAAACGCTCCAGTAGCTTCAAAACGTACTCGACCACTACTGGGTCTTCGGCTCGGCCTTCCCACGATTCTCGAAGCAAGCGAAGAGGAGATCGCAACGAGCGGCCGTACACGAGCTCGGCTGGTGAAAACCCCGTTGCTTCATGCGGGGCAGTCCTTAACGCGAACATGGTAGCCGGCAAACATAGCTCCCAGTCCGTCTTCCTTTTGTAGCATAACGCCCTCAACACTCGCTTCAGAACGGAGTGGAGCTTCTCCACGGAGTTAGACTGAGGGTGGTAGACTGAACTATGAATTAGTTTTACTCCGCACCTTTCCAAAAACGTAGTGGTAAGAGCACTAGTAAACACAGAGCCTTGATCCGACTGTATTTCGGCGGGAAAGCCAACTCGTGCGAATATGGAAAGGAGCGCGTTAACTATTTCCACAGAGCTAAGTTCTTTAAGTGGAACCGCTTCGGGGAACTTAGTCGCTGGGCATATCGCGGTCAGCACGTGGCGGTACCCCGACGATGTCGCCGGCAGTGGGCCTACAGTGTCCACTACGAGCCGCCGAAACGGCTCTGTGATGATAGGCACCAGCTTCATCGGCGCCCTCGACTTGTCACCCGGCTTACCTACACGCTGACACGTGTCGCATGTCCTTACAAATCGCTCTGCGTCGCGGAAACAGCCTGGCCAATAATACTCCTGCAACAACCGTCCCTTCGTTTTCTTGACGCCTAAATGACCTGCCCAAGAACTTCCATGCGACAAGCGCAGTAAATCCTCTCGATAAGCTTGAGGCACGACCAGCTGATCAAACATTACACCCCTTTTGTCAACATACTTCCTGTACAGTATGCCATCCTTCTCATAATAACTTATGTTTTTCGGGGGCTATCTTTTCATGTACCCTGCTCTGGATGTTTCGCAAACTCGGGTCTTTATCTTGTTGATTCCTCAAGGTCATGCTGTCTACCATTAACAGTCGCTGTAAGCTTTCCGACGTAGGCGCTACAAGTAAATCTCTGGAATGCTCTTCCAATATTTCTGATGGTGCCCGTGCCGTAGCTTCATCCTCCACGGATGGGACCCCCTGCTGTTGTAACGCTGGCGTAAGTTCGACCTCTGCTGGGGAGTCCTGCGTCAGGCCGATTTCAGCTAAAGGGGACTCGGCAACTGCCTTCGCAGCGAGTTCCCGTGCTTTCGAACGCGTTAGCGCCATCACATTTGCCTCCCCAAACAGCTGCCCTCTCTCGCGCAGCATCTTGTCAGATCTATTCGAAAACAGGTAAGGGTATTGCGGAGGGAGTGCCGGCGACACGGCAGCTTCCGTCTCGAGCGTGCCGGAAGGGCCTTTGATAGTTACCTTTGCGACGGGAAGGCATGCACTACACGACTCTACAGCCTGATTGATCCAAGCACACTCACCCGTGAACATTTGCGGTTCAACGTACGAGCTGTGAACTACGTCCATCGTAGCCACAGAATCGCGCAGTACGCGGCATGGCTTCCCGTTCACTTCAAGGTCGCGCATGTAAGGTTCGAGAAGCTCGATATTCTCGTCCCTACCACTGATGGATAGAAACACAACTTTTGGTTTCTTACAGTGCGCCGCAATGTGACCGGGTTTATGGCAGTTATAGCAAAGGAACGGTTTCCTCGCTTCTAGCTTCCTTTGCTGTTCTAACGCAGGTTCGGTGTTCCGTTCCGACTCCGACGTATTTACGGTTCGGGCATTCCCAATTTCAGGCTCTTACTTCGTTTTCACAGGCCCTCTCTTTGGCTTGAACCCAAAATCGGGACCCCCTTTTCGACCACTGTCACTGCCTTCGCGAGCCCGACGTGTGACGAATTCCTCTGCTAGCTCTGCGGCTCTGGCTACAGAGCTAACATCTGGCCTGTCTTGCACCCAATGCCTAATGTTCTCTGGTAACCGGTTGTAGAATTGCTCTAGTAAAAAACACTCAATAACCTTTGCGTGGTCACCGAAGGCCTTCTCCTCCTTTAGCCATTCCACCATGTTTGACTTCAGTTTATAGGCAAATTCAGTGTATGACTCACTCCTTCCTTTCTCCAATTCACGGAATTTCCGCCGGAATGCCTCCGCGGACAGCCTGTACTTCCTAAGCAAACTGGATTTTACTTTATCGTAATCGTCGACCTCCTCAGTGGATAAACGAGCGATTACTTCTGCTGCCTCGCCAGGTAAGAGTGTGAGCAAGCGCTGTGGCCACGACTCACGGGAGAACCCCTGCTTCTCACACGTCCGCTCAAAGTTCACCAAGAACAACCCAATGTCCTCTCCGAGTTTATAAGGGCGAATTAGTTCTGTCATTTTGAGCGATATGTGCACCCCTGCACTGTTTGCCTCGCTTCTCTGCCCTGCCGTTCGCACGCGCTCTATTTCAACCTCGAGTCGCTTTAACTCGAGCGCGTGATCGCGTTCCTCGCGCTCTCTCGAACGTTGAAACTCGAGTCGTTTTAATTCGAGCTCCCTTTCCTCACGCTCTTTCTCTTGCTGTTCTCTACGCTCCTCTGCCTGTCTTTTTGCGGCTTCCCTTTCTCGAATTATCTCAAGGCATTCCGTCAGCTCATCTTCCTCAACCTCCAGAGCACTAATAGCCTCGATCAATTCTGGTTTCCGGAGTGCGTCACAAACATCCAAACGCAACTCCTTTGCAAGCTGTAATAACTCCGCTTTACGCAGCAACTTCAAATTCATGGCTGTGTTCAGTGCGACCTTTCCTACTGTACACAACTATCTTGCCGCAGCCCACTTTGGCGACAACAATAGTTCGAATTACCAGTTACGCTTCCCCACTGAAAAAGCCTGGCAAAACTCAGCAGACAAAGCCCCGCACTCACCACTCAACAGCCAAGAATTCCGCGTAGACCCTCGCAAACACTGCATCTGGTTGCGGCCTGGCAGACGAGACGGCTCGTGGATCCGTGTCGCAGCTCAGCCCTCGAGTCGTCGAAATGACTGCAGCATCCCACCGCTGCCACCAGTTGTTACGGGCGTCTCTTGACCGCCGCCGTCAGCAGGTTGTGCTCGTAACTTGCATCAGGACCGACGAGAAGGGAAGTACCGGCGAGACGGCGCAGAACAGCAAATCAAAAGAGTTTAATACTACATAGTTAGACCAAAGTGGACATTCAAGTTTACAAACAAAGGTAAGAAGCCGAGGAGCAGAGTTCCGGCAGAGTCTCAATCCAGACTGCTCCACCCAGTCTCTCCCTGCGCGTTTTTAAAGGGTTCCAGACGCTTGTGTGACGTCAGGCGCCTCCAGACATGACCAAATATGGAACACCTTGTGTTCGCACCACCTACCACGCCACTGGTCACGCCACCGATCACGCGACTGATCGCGCCACGGATCACACCACCGGCGTTCCCACACTCAAGAGCCAGGTGCGAATCAGCCACGAGCTCACCGCGTTCTCGCGCACAGCACATGACGACCTTCGCGGCAGCAGCGTCTCAGGTTCCTCGGCGTCTGGGCATACACTTCTGCGCCTCCACCCCCGATACGTTTACAGGCCCGGGAGCGTTCGCACGCTGTCCGTGGTCTTGCATTTGGGCCCAAAGGGGTTCGCGTAAAATGAAGCGTAACAAACCACTGAAACACAGCAAAATCTTCGTTGGGTGCTTACCACTAAAACTGTCATTGCCGCGTCTTAGCTCCATTATCAGTTCCCCTTCAATTACCTTTCCTTTCTTGTTTTATTGTGCAAAGGAGACATTGCCATGCTTCCAGCTTGTTTAGCTGCAATGCGATGAGCAGAATTTCTAGATTTTTTTTTCTGAGACTATTATAGTACTATAGTCTATCAGAACTTTAGGCAACAGCATTTCCACCTCAAAGGCACAGAAGCCTGTACCAATAAGCATATACTCTAGAATGACATTGTAAAGCCACGCAGTCAGTGACCTTGCCTTTGGAGAACATTTCCAAGTACATGAGCAGAACTGTATCTTTAGTTTCAAAGGCAGCTGCACTACTTCAGTAATTTTAAGAACCATCTTCGACCAAGCGATGGCATCATGTAATGATGTCACTGATAATGTCAGCTTTTGGTACCATTCAGGTTCATGCACCAGATGATCAAAAAATCTGGCTGCATGCTAGATTTTTTTTTATTTGTGTGAGAAATATGTGGCTTTTCAGTGATGCCTCTGCAAAAACTTCCCTTTAAGCATATTGGTAGAGTTGAACCTTAAATCACAGTTGTTTTATTATTTTACTTAGAGTAAGTGGAACCTTGGGAGTTATCTAGCAATTTTGTGTTAAAAATGTTTTCATGAACCATTACCATTCTTGTCCTGCATTTTCTAGTGAAATATTTCTGCGTGTTGAAAAATTGGCTGCAGTGTTTATGCTAAACAGTGCATGAATGGATTTTATTCTGCATACGCCAGCCACCACATACTATGGTGCACCAGTGCTACTGCAAGTGAAAGCACGTGGCTGTGGCAGTCTGTGTTTTGTGCGATATTCACCATATGTTGTCCATCCTACAGGGAAAACGCAAGATGGATGGAATTTCAGAAGGCCGAAAGAAGAAGCGGAAGACACAGTAACGGACAGTTTCTGATCACTATTCTATCTAGTAATGTGAAGATCCATGTAAATATAGTTTATAAGGACATCTTTGTTTGCCTCTGTGAATTTCTTTGTATTGTCCATGCCTAAATCGTAGCCATCATTGCATTTTATAACAGGTAGCTCTGTTGGCTGCACGTCGTCACCTGGCTTTTGATTTTTTTTCTCTGTATATTTATTATGGCCAATGTGCTCTTATTATATCGGTCAGTGGACTTGGCTGGGACGCAAAATTGCCCATTCCAAACTTGCATGCTATGTCACAATAAATGTCTGTTCTTATATATCATCCATACAACATGTGTGTGTCGCTTCTTCCACTCGCACTGACATCATACTATAAGGATCTTTGGAACACTTTTATTGAAACCAAAAGCATACAAACATGACTTATTGAAAAGCCTGTCTAGTTCTACAGTAGCATTACATTTTTGGCTCCAGGAAACATTGTTGCTCTTTTAACCAACAACAGTGCTTTTGCTGTATGTAATTGGAGGGATAGCCATACATTATTATGAAATGCAATTAAGTATAAAACACTTATGTATGAACTTTACATAAACTTGCAAAGCTGACAGTGGAGCATAGTACAAGAGTAAATGCCAGCCTTGCAGTTGCATTAATAGTTTTGACGTTGTGTATATGTCTTTAGCATTAGCAAAGGCAGAATTGATGTTGCCTGTACAAAAAATTAAAGTAACTCTGGCCGTCTGGCTAGGACAAGCACATATTTTACTATCCAAGTGTACGTGCCATCTTTGTTCTTCTTCATCTTCTTTAGTGCAGCCTTTGCGAGTTCACGAACAAATGTTGGCCGTTTTGTGTCTGGTATGAGTTGAATGGGCTTTGCAAACATTGTCTCAAGGAATTCTGTTGAGAAAGAAAAAGAAAGAATGAGCTGTGATTTGCCCAGCATTCAGAGAACCTTACAAACTGGTGTTTTAGTTAAGCTTGAAAACATCCGTGTTAGTGTGCTACAGTCGATTTAGGCACCACACCACAAAGCAACATCCAATTGTACATTATACATTAACACAAGTGCTTCCTGAATTACCACCCCAGAAACCACTCAAAACAGGAAATTTAAAATTCTACTTCAATTGCATGTAAGAGGGGAGGATAGTAAAATAATTTTGACAAGCTGGGGTTATTGCTGATTTGATTTTCACACACCATCACAGCAGTGAAAAATTTTGAGATTTTTATATTGGAATCATGATCAAATGCATGTAAAAGTAGGGAATTGTAAAATAATTTTGAGAAGCTGGGGTTCTTTTAATGGCTATATATACACAAGTGTTCTTGCATTTCATTTCGATTGCCATTACACAGTGTAAATGTCGGTAGCATTAGTTTTACAGTAAACTGCACTAATTATTGAGGAATGCCATAAAAGCCATCCATCCGATTTCTGCAGTATGAATTCGGCTGAGAGATGAAAAGTGGAGAGTGCAAAGTTGTGAACAGAGCTGAGTACTAATTTAAACTACGTCAGCATAATGGAATACATTTAAATGCTGTATTTCATTTAATTTAGTTCCATGAATATCATCATTATCTGCCTGACCGCACCCACTGCAGAGCTAAGGTCTCTCCCATGACCCGCCAATCAACACGCTGCCAATTTATACCCACCAACTTCTTAATGTCACCTGCCCCCCTAACTTTCTGTCTCCCCTTAAACTGCTTGCCTTCGCTGATAATCCAGTTAGTTACCCTTAATGACCAGTGGTTATCCTGCCTACACGTTACGTGCCCAGCCCATGTCCATTTCTTCTTGAATTCAACTATGATATCTTTAACCCTGATTTGTTCCCTGACCCACTCTGCTGTCTTTTTGTCTCTTAAGGTTACCTCTATCATTTTCATGAGAAGGAGAGTCATCCAGAGCACTAGGCTAGGCTAAGCTCGTAAGGTCAGAAGTTGGAATCTTCCACCTTTTTTTTTGTTCTTTTCAGTTACTTTTCTAATCCCTCGAAAGACTGAGTTTGCAACAATTAAGAGGAAACCAAGCGAGCTGCTAGTAATGTGAAGTTGACGACTGATAAGCAGTTACAGCGCTAAGAAAGTGCGAAGGAACCCCTACTACTGAGAGGTGGTGCATCAGCCTAGCAGGCGAAAAGGTCCATGGTTCAAATGCCGGTGCCGGGCAATTCTCAACCGTATGAATAAGACAAATGGATTCAACTTACCACATCCATCTTAAAATTAAATCATTAATATGACAGCTTTGTAAACTTTCTAATCACAATATGCATTTGCTGTGGTTGGAGCACACACTAAATATATTTAGAGCCCCTATTTTATCCAGAAAACAGGCTGTAAAGTTGGTTTGTTGCTCTGAGGAATCATGTTAAACTTACCTTTATATTCTGCAGTTGATGCAAAATTGTATTTAAATTCCAGTTGCTTAGTCTTCAACACTTCATAGCCGACTTGTTCTAGGAGGGCCGAATATATGCGATCTGCTTGCGGGTGATGGAACCACAGACGATTGAAGTTCTTATCAGCCATGTCTGCAACCAGCTCAGGAATTGTCTGTGAAGGCAGTTTACATGCTTCATGAGTATGAGTATTCTCAAGTTGTTGCCAAATACAATGATGCATGTATCTTGAGCTGGAATACACTCGTTTGAAATAATCGGCTGAAAGAAAGCCGAAAATATTAACAGTAATCAAGCAATGTTGCGGGAGCCAATGTATTAACTAGGGGGTTCCTTTTTGCTAAAAGAAAAAAGATTTCACTTATTAAAAAGTTGCCTTCAGCTGCTCTGAGAGGTTCTTCAGCAGGCCCGGTACACGATTGTAAAAAGAAGCTTTGGGTTCAGTTAGTTGGAGAAGCAGTTTCACCCATGTGCCCATATCTCTCAGTACCATTAGCAAGGTAGCTATTGCTAGTTTCATTCGTTCATCCTGTTGCTGTTAAGGACTAAGTAGTTGAATTTATAAAACTTTTCTAATTTACAAGTGTTCTTCAATTTTGAGACCTACTAAAGCACAGTCCTGACCATGGAGGAAGAAAAAAGAAAGGAGGGAGTATTACGTCACATGAGTTGAATCCCACCGTGTCGGCCCAACATGTAACCAAAACGTCAGAGCGTGCGGTAGGCTTTGGTACTCTTGGTAGTGTTCCATTTTCAACTTTCTGTGTGAGCTGGCCAGTCTGCACTAAAGAAGTGCATTTCAATGAAAAGCTACCGGGTGCCACACCTCGAAGTCTCAGCAAGCCACATTGCTTGTGTAATCTTGCACAAAAGGTTGCGTGTTGGGCCAACACCACTGGCTTCAAAAGGAGTTGTCTTATAAACGCTGTCGGAATGATGTCATGCTCCCTCCTTTTTCTTCCCTCCATGGTCCTGACAATATATTTGCCATTTATGTCTGTTCAATATGGTGGACCTGATTTCTGAAAAGCCATGTGTTAGGATCGAGTCATGCTGGTTGTCCCGATGGTTACAGAAATCACTTGTATGCACAAAACAGGAACACAACCTAGAGGCTCTGTCGTGTTGTAATGTCCTGCAACTGCTATGTTTTGGAGGAAGCCCACTGTCTAGCTGTGGCCTTGGCCATAGATTTCTTGCGCATGTGCTATTTCCAGTGAGTGCTTATGGTCTTGAGGAGTTTTTTTATAGTATTAATGCGCTTTTCACATTAGTAGCAAGTATAAGCTGCTGCTGGCTTTAATGTTTTTGTAACCTCCGTCAGCAGCCTAGGGAGCATTGCATAGCAAGAAAGAGAGAATAAATTGAGAGAAAGGCAGGGAGGTCAACCCTAAGTATTTGAATGCGTACTGATGCATGTAGTGCATATGGCGTGCACCCCAAATGTTCTTTCCTATGTGAAAGCTATGTTACACTTTGAATTCCACTGTGCAGTTCAAGCAGTGTTACACGCGCACATGTATGAAAGCTTGTGTAAAATTATTGGTAATCCAACTTTCCTCAAATATTTCTTGAGCATGAGGAATGCACATGCGAGTGACTTGCCTCGAAATACTTGGTCCACGTTGAGGATTGTATCACTTTAACAACCGCTGAATGAAGATCGGTAGGCTTTGCCGCAGGCACTGCGATGAAGCATCGACCGCCTGGCCTCAGACACCACATTAAATTCCTGAGTGCTTTGGGCTGATCCTTCACAAAAAGCAGCGCGTGCGACGAGAATAACCAGTCAAAACGGCCGCCCCATTTAAGTTCGAATGTGTTCAAGTCTTCAACGTTGGCCGTGGCGAAGTCTGTCTTCTCGTCGGCATGCACCGAGAAAGCGTAGTCGATGGCATCCTGGTTGGTGTCTATGCCCAGAACGCCGCGGATGAGCAGCGGAGCCAGGCGGTCGGAGAGCTGCCTCGTAGTGTCGCCGCAGCCGCAGCCAATTTCGAGGACCAGGGCCTGCTGCCAGTCGCTGTCTTTGGTCAGGTTGGCGCACTCGGCAAGTAGGCACTCCTGAAGCGCGCACATGTAGCCGCTCTCGACATTGCTGCCCTCGGTGTAGAGGCTGTTGATGGAGCTGTTTTTGCTCACGCTTCGCGATTTGGGTTGCTGAAGTGTTTCGACCGTGAGTGAGGATGCCATGGCGAAGCAACGTGAGGTCGATCACTTCCGGGGGTTGCCTCGGCAGTGGCACAAAGTGTTTGGAGTGGGTGGAGGGATGACGGCTCGTCTATTCTGGGTTGGGGCCGTGGTCCTCGCTCGGCGCGCTATTTTGGGAAGGCACTGACTGTCATGAGAGGGTTTGGCGGTTATTGGCTGGGTAAGCCGCTAACTGCGGGTGAATGCGACTAGTTTCGTTGGTGGCTGCGACGCAATTTGAGTTTGTGTCGCGAAAATGTGATACAATTTGTCCGCAGATACAAACAAAAACCCCGCATGTTTCGAAATCGAAACCGAAAGTAATAGATGCCTAAAGCATGACTCCAAGTACCAAAACAATGTGATACCGTTTATGACGCACAACAAGAAGCACAATGCTACGATTGCTGTATAAAGCGGGCTGTTTATTCTATGCAACAATTTCACCAAAGATAGTAGCGTGGCATTGCGAAATTGTTTTATTCTGTTAGTTTGGCAGCGCCATCACAGCTGAAATAAAATATGGCAAACTACGAGCCTAGCGAAGTTTCGGGCCTCCTAAATGTAATGGTGGCACACTCAAGATGGCACATTACCACGGCGATATCAGCCTGGATCTAATACTAAACGAAGTGAGTAGTCTACCACACTTCACTCTAGTTATAGGTCTCACTATGACGTCGTTGCTCCCAAGCCTAAGACAAGCGCCTGTGCTGATTATCTGCAGAATTGTCGCCTAATTACTGAGCTAATTTCCTATATCCTTACCGGTAATTGATTGACAAGATTAAAGATCGCCTGTTGTGCTATGTGATGATTACAAGCTTACGTTCGCGAGCGTGGCATGGTAACGAAGCGATGAGCGCAAGCGTGGTTGCTGCCTGTGTGGGACGCTGAAAATCTTAATCTTTTCACGAAGTCGTTGAAGCACAAACGTGTAATTATGTGTCACAGGTGCATTTTGCTTAGCTGCAATTGAAGGTCGTGCCGTCAACAATGTTGTGTTACTGCTTTCAATGGCATGAATGCTAACGTAAAGTGCGTCCATGTAGCGCTGCATTAGCGATAACTGTGGCGTGCAGTGTAAATGTACTACACGCTGTGTATTTTTATTATTTCAGAGTATAGACCTTTCAAAATTACCAGATGAAGACAGACACAGGTGAGTTGCTTAGTGACAGTGTGTGTGGCTTTTAGAGTCGTAAACGGTACTTTTTTTTTTTTATGAAGGGGGCTCCGACCCTCCTTTACGTACGTATGTTCATGAGTGTATCTACCCATGTACAGAATTTCAGTATATCGGGGGAGGGGGCTGAACCCCCCCAAGCACCCTGGCTACATTACTGGTGCCGTTGCTTCATTATTGCGAGAATTTGTTCATTACATCACTGCAGACAGTCTGTGCTTGTGAGCTTGCATTGCGGACATTGTGTGTTAGTGGCTCGCGATTATTTTAGAGTACGCTACACAATTGGAAGCGTTTGTTGAAAAATGTCTCGGTACAGACGTCGACGATGACGGTATATTGTTGCTTGACGTTTCGTAAAAATTTACATTGTTTCAGGCATTTGCATCCAGAATAAATGGAGTTGTATAGTTATGTTTGTGTTGTGTGAAGTGATGCCAAACTGTGTGTTTTGTAATGTCTTTTGTTGACTGTTTTAATGACTGTGTTTCCCATACCATCTACATTTTTTCATGATCACAAAAGGATTGAACATGCCCGGATGCACGAGAAGCACAGAGGTCACGAAAAGATGCATAGCTACATGATACTTATTCTCCTAGCATCTGTTGTCATAGCCCAAATAATCCTAGTAAACTGGAAAAAATTGCATTTCAAATCGTATCAGGTATGTTCAAGTATATTTTAAATACATTTCTCCTTCTTGTGTTTTCATTGCACCAACTGATCGTTATCAAACTGGCTCTTTTGTTACTTGTCATGTCTGACCAGAGCGTGAGAACTGAGGGAATGTGATTGGACAGTTCGTAGTTTGGGGCTTCACTTTCCATAATGCATATGTTGTAGCACATCGCTACAGAGACAGAGGAGACAGGCTCACAGTGCCGACTTGCAGCTAACGTTTTAATTTGTGGTCATAATCAAGCACCAGGAGATATTTGTTAATTGCATTCAAGGTACTGTCAATTGTATTCCCTTGACATGTAACCACGTGTATACATAGGTCAAACTGCAAGGTGCATTAACCAAAGATTCCGGACCACTTGTACAATGTAGAAAAGGCTGTATGTGGTTATTTGGACATTAACTGCCAGCAGCGTGGTTGTGTATCGGTGTTTGAAAACACCCGCATTTTCAATAGGGGTTGAGGCAGAACTACACGAGAAATAATTGAGGGCTACGAAAGAGACAAGATAAAAGGAAAATGTGTGTGTGCCTTCTTGAGCCTTGTTGGCTAAGGGGAAAAAAGTATCTGGAGTCATTTCTTTGATTTAGGCGGGCGCAGATTGTGATGTCATTTCCTCAGTTTTCATCGATATACTTGTATATTATAATTGCATCTGTGATTGCAAATGAAACCATTAGTTGCAAGTTAGCACTATGTGTGTTCGTCCTTCTTCTCTGCCCGTCGTGATGCTCTACAACATATGAATTATGGATCCTAACCAACTAGCTCAGCAGAGTGCCCTTGCTTCATTTTCCTCTCTATCCGTTTCCACGTATTGTACATTGTGTCTGTCAAGCATACCTAAAGTTCTTAAGTGCAGACGCTTCTCACACCATGATGTGGTGTGGAAATCCTGATATCAAAAAATGTTCTTTTAGGTGACTGCAATACTCAGAGAGTACTTCTCATTGCTAAACTTGAAGACGCGGCTTCGCTTCAATTCCCTACCATGGCGGCTGCACTTCAAGGGGGGGGGGGGCATCGAAATGCAAGCAACAACCGTGTGCTTAGATTTAGGTGCACATTAAAGAACACCAGGTGGTGAAAATTAGTCTGGAGTGCCCCCTCTACGGCAGCCTCTCAGTTTTACAGTCTTTACGTATATAACACCAGCAGGTATTATCCGAGAGTGCTGGCTCAGAAAAAATTATTAGGCCATCGATATCTGCAGTGCCGTAGTCTTCGGGTAATTTAGCGCAGCTGAGTCACAGTCTGTGGCGAGCACTTGAAGTCATGAATTGGAGCCCCGATCTCTTTGCGTAGATGCTCACTGCCATCACCGTTAAGAGTCTCCGCAATGGCTTGCGCCCACCGCGTGGTCGTGCAGGGGTGCTGACGGAGACGTTCTGGTCAACACCATTATGTGTTCTCGAAGGCGTGCTTCCAGGAAAATGCCATGGAAGTCGGTCCATGTAGGTGCCAAGCACTGGCATTTGCCTGCAGCTCGTTTTTGTTTATTCAAGCTGGAGGTGCCGCATCGCTTCGCCTGACAAACGCCTTTCTGGAATAGTTGCGTTACCCTTTTCTAACCTTTCCACCCTTTTATTTCTTTTGCCACCTTGCGGGATTCTGCAAAACTGATTGTCGATGTTATGTGATTCTATTTGGCTACGAATTCACCTTCTCCTTGCCAGTTACTTGCATCCTGGTTAGCTCAATTGGTAGAGGACCGACCTGGAAAATTGCTAGTCCGTGGTTTGATCCCCAGACCACGATGAATTTTTCTTCAAGGAAGGAGCTTTTTTTCTGACAAATCCATATGGATCTTCTCGTGGCTTTGTGCTGAAAATGGCTGGTGGTTAATTTCCCTTACAAAAGGACATTATGTTGTCCTAGAATTTGTACAATAATATTTCAGGGGAATCCTGCTGGACCTCAAGTTCTATTCATTCAGTGAAGGCTGAAATAGACAGTCCACTTACGAAGAATATGACCGCTCCGCACCATTCAATTAACACGAAAGAATACTACAATTGCATTTTTCATTGCACCCATGAGACTTCTCATGGCATTATAGTATGGAAAGTTCCGTTAGGGTACTAATGTGGTACTTGTACTGGATCTAGTACTTCGACTGAAACTTTTTCGAAAGTGGCACGTGAGCCAGTTTACTTGAATCATAGCTTCTCTGAGCTAGCAGTTTTTAACAGTCAAAAACTGTTTATTGAATTTAAAGTAAGTTAACTTGCTGGAGACCACGACAGGTGGTGTTAGTCTGAGGGCATCTGATCACAAGTTGCATGTATACAAGTGTTTGATTCCAGGTGGACATGTTACATTCTTTTTTTTTTCTTTCTTTCCAGAGAGTGACCATGGTGGGGATGTGGCTGATACCACTGTGCATCTCTGTGCACTCTTACTGGTGGCGCTTTGTGTTTATTTGGACTATTTTTACTGTAGGCACATTTATAGTTATGAGCTGGGCTCTGCAGAAACCTATAGCTGGGACCACGCCCCGTTGGGTCTACAAATGGTTCTATGTGATATACCTGCAGAGGTGGGCTGTCATTTTTCTTTTCACAATTTTTGGCTGATGTGTTCTAATAGCACATTTTGCCATCACGCAGAATCATTCGCAGCTGTGAAGCTGTTGCTTTCCCCTACGTGTGAATACATTTGAGCCTTGTTAATATAAATACTTTACTGATGGGAGGTGTTCCATAAAGATAGTTGCCTTTACCAGGTTGTTGAATTAACACAGTATGGGAAATCTGCCTTCCTGTTGGGCGTTGTTATAAATTTCAAGGTTGTCAAAATCTTTGCAACTTGCAGTGAATCATCACTTATCAAATACTACAGGGCAGCTTTCGGAATCTACGGAAAAAAAAAGTACAGTGGCACGTTTCATGCTAGTTAAGCTGTAAACTTTTTTCATGTCCTCAGAGGATTTGTGGACCATGTCAGAGTTAAGTATGGACCATTTGCTAATTTATCCATTTTAGTAGTTGTGCCACAGTGGCTGCCTTTCAGAAAGCAATCTGCTGAAGTTTTGGATTGCTCCACACATTGTAAACAGTTTAATCTAAGCATGTAATATCCGTTCTGTGCGTCAGATACCACATTGTATAATTAAGAAACTATCGCTGCTGTGGCAGTGCAGTGCTGAGCGCAGATTTATCAAGACAGGACCAGATGGAGGGGACGCTCACAGGTGCTGTGTCTCTGTGTGTGTCTCCTTTGCGTGTGTCTGCGTGGGTCCTCTTGTACAGTCTGGATAAATCTGTGCTCAACACTTGAGATATGTCATACAAGCAAGGTGAGATGTCAGCCCTCACTACAGTGGCATTCTGCTACAGAGCAAGCATTCACAAATTAGATATCTGGTTGTGCCAGCGACATTTTTTTATCAGTACAAAATGTACAAAGGCTTGCTTACATATGTGTAGTCACAGAGATACAGCATCTCCTGCAGTCACCGCATTGCTATCAGGCGGTAAACCTCAAATATTGATTTAGTTGACTATCAGACATTCAGGTGCGTGCACATGGTCTACAAACTGGTATACAGTTGGGCTGAATGACTCGGGGAAGAAGTTTTAGCTACAGTGTAGCACACAGAATACTAAAATGAGTAGTACGGTGTTTTGTAAAAATCACAGGTCATTGCTTGCTTTCTGGCATCATGAACAAAAGTTTTGTAGTAGTCACCTGCTACTATGTTATACGGAAATGCTCTTACGGGGACATTTACATGGGAAGCCCCAGTTACCATGGTCATGTATGTTAATTTAGATTTGAGGACCATGAGCTTAATGTGCTGTGGGCTTTTCCTTTTGTCCTCTTCGTTGAAGTGTAATTGCTGTTGTGAATCTTATTTTCATGCCACTCTTTGCAGTTGCGCAGTCTGCGTGTTTGGCTACGTGGTGGTCATGCTGACTCTGCTTGGAGTGAATGTGGTGTTTCGGGCCAAGCCACAGAGTTGGATGGATGTGGGCCTGCTGTTTCTTTTTTATGGCATGTACTATGGTGTGTTAGGTCGTGACGTCTCCGAGGCTGTCACAGACCGAATGGCATGCACCATTGGGGTATGTACACATTAGTCTGTTACGGTCAGTGCACGCAGTGTGTCCCCTTGAGAAGCAGCCTAATGGCTGTTACGAATGAAGCTTAGTCCTTGTGCTTGTCTTGGTGGTACTATGACTGTGGCCTTTTTGTGATGAGCACAAGATCATTACGCTCCCAATCATGGTATAGCTTCATTTCTATACTGAATGCAAGAACCTCTTTGCGCCACAATTTCTGTAGTGAGGCTCTAAAAAAAAAGTAGCATGAAGTTGAGTGTTATGTGGGCGGCAGCAATGCTGCTCCAGCAGTATACGAGACGGTCGGATTATGCCAATAGAAAAGCCCCTAGTTTTATTCACACTTGTGAATATATTCAAAAGTAAAGGGGAGAGGGAAGAGGGCAAAAGATTGCGCACTTGAAAATAGCACACATGAGCACTTAAGAGCTTAGGTCACGTCATTCAATAGGTTACCGTGTTAAGTTTGTCGGCTGCTTCCTTGTAACTCTCCTTCTTATGTTTGGTGGTAAGAGATAACAAAGTCACTGCTAAATTTTCACTCATCTTGGCATAAATATTGCAGTGTTTCTTGCTTATTCAGGCCCGTCCTTGCAAGCATAGTACATATACAATTGGCTGTTAGTAAAAAAACCAGGTGGTAACTGATACTGTAAACTATTGTACGTGGCCTTGGTTAGGTGCTGCTTTTAGTACAATGCCAAGAGTTAGAAAAGGCTTGGGAAAAAGGGAAAGGTGACATGAGCACTGACATCAAGTTTCAGAATCGAGATGTGCCCTTCCTGTGATTGCTTGGTGTGCGTAGGTCCTCTTGACCAAATTTGAATCTAATCCTTCGCGAGGTAGTTACTTTATTTCAACGGCAAGCAGCGTACCAGAGTTTAATGAAAATGAAGTGCCCTGCGACATCGACACTAGTGCTATGTGTTCGGTGTGATACATTCCACACATACCATCCTGAGTGACGATGCGCTAGTAGCGATGACGTCTACAATCCAAGTGTTCTTATCGTGGCGTCGACTGGCGCCGAAGCCTGAATACGCACTCGCTCGTCACGTCTGATCTTCGTTGTACTGCTTTGAACGATTTGGTGAACTAATTAAGATGCAAAGCACCTTTATAAGAATGGCGAAAGAAAAAAAGCATGATTCAGCGTGTGCTGGTCGGTCAGCATGTTGGGGAATCGTTGTGAGTTGCAGTTGTCTCGTTCGAAGCGTGGAAAAAGCGCAAATAAGGTGTCTTTTCATATCACGTGTATGTTACATGCCAACATGACAACAAGCTATCAAAGTGGAACAGCGTATAGACAGATACCATCATTATCAAGTGACACGCAGGTATCGTTGAATTTTAGTTCGTATGCAGACTTCTTTGTGTCAGCTTAATACCGGGTTACTGTCGCCGCAACCACGAGAGGCTGGATAGGTGGGGCCATCTGGAGGCGCAAGGAAGAACCTGGCAAGCAGGGAACGTATTCTATTTCTTCCCTAATGCTCATCCCCGATAGCGATATTCCATTGACCCCTTTGCATATACAGCGGACTGCTCTTAAATGGAACTCAAAGGGGCAAAAAAATTTGTTCCACTTATGAGAAGTTTCATTTATCCAAAGGCCACAAAATGAATGAAATATGACTTTATTTCAAAAGCACCAACTGTGGCTGACTGAACAAAAACATTTTGAAATATACAATACTACTATAGTTGATTAGAAAGAATAATGTTGCTGATATTGCTTACAGATATCTCTGTTTAGAGCCGCAGCACTTTCTCCAGAAAGTATCTTAAAGACAAGACCATGCCGCTTTTTAAAACAGCTCAGACAGCCATCACTCACCCGCAAGTGCTCGATTTCCATGCGAGTAGCAATCTCTTTGGTCTTCTCTTCAGAAATGGGCTGCTAATTGGGAAGTTCGCACTGCGCGCACGCTTTAATCAGAGAAAAAGAGCATCTTCAATTTCTCTGTACGCCACGGTTCTCATCCGCATTCTGTCTGTGGCGTAATTCCCAACCTTTGTAGCTTCTTCCATCTTCCCTTTGTTCTTGACTATCCTCAACAGTGTGGACTTGGAAATATTGAACTTCTTGATGATTTCTGTCTTCGATTGGTCGTTGCGGTAAAGTTCTTGAATGATTTTTACTTTTGTTGCGAGCAAAAGTGCATTGTGCTGCCGTTTTTTTGTTTCCATCTTAAGTTCACGACAAGATGGAAACAAAAAAATATGTAAACGAGATGGATCGTTTGCTGCTCGGCGTGCACGGACATGCGCAATCGCTAGATTGGCTTGGCGAGGCTAGCTTCGGCATTTGTTTCATGGTTGCTAGACTGCCGTGGCCACTTCCGTCGTTCATGTATTTTGCCCGTTTTAGTTTCATTTAACAGATGTAAGCAGAAAAAAATGTTGCGATTACCCGAAACTTTTTATCATTAAATATATAAGAGACCAACCAAATGTTCTTAGATTGTTTTATTTAGGCGGCTTTTCCGTTAAAGCGACTTTCGTTTAATAGGAGTCCACTGTACCTGAATGTTGTGCATGCCAAAACACACCAATATAGCTAACTAAGGCACATGAGCAAACATGGCATCCTCGGGCACCTCCTCAATGCTGCTTCTAACGGCATCCATTTTGAAATCGCTGTTCTGTAAAGGGTTGATCGAAGCAAAAATAATTCGCAACGTCATGAATCGCGGGATTCCAAGCTCCAGACTATCGTATTCAACCCGAATCCACACTTTGTATGGGGACGATGGCAATGCAGGTGACAAGGCTTGACTGAATGTTTTTGCCTAGCAGACAAAATGTTTATGGAGAAGCCGAGCCTGACGTCACTCTTTTTTGTGGAGAAGTGGTCAGCTGTGGCGTGATCTGGAGGTGACCGCGAGGTCGCGCCACTGGTAGGGCTCCTAGCACTGAAAATGGCGGGATTGCCGGCTGTTTTGAATCGTGCTTGATACCAGTGATATAAATCACCTAAAGTGATATTTATTCATCCCTCAGTTGCGTTTTGGGTCGCGAATCGCTGCTACATAATCTGTAGCTACTCGTTGATGCAAAAATCTTGGTATGAGTAAATTTGATGTCAGTGCTCCTTAAAAATATTGAATACTTTAAATAAACACCAGTTAAGATATCTTCAGTGCTATTCTAAATTTTTTTGGCTGTCTTGTAAATGTGCACTTTGTATGTGTTCTTTCTTTCCACTAAGCAGAGTTAAAACAGCATGGTGATATTTATAATGATAAATAACCCTTACCACTAACATTCTAGAAATCACAGCTCTGAATATGAGCAAGTTGTTCAACTGTGTCCCCAGTAATCTTTGTCTACAGAAGATAATGGCCTCTGTTATGTGGGTACTTTTGGTAAGCCTGTCACACTTCGAAAATGTCTGGCGGGTCGAACCTGCTTTGCTTAATTCTTTTTTCCTTCCAGTACTACACAACCACAGGAGTTCCCGTGAGGCAACTAGAGTCCAATGTTTGTGCCGTGTGTGGCAACAAAATACACGTCCTTGACAATGCAGATGCAATTGTCGAGGAATCATATAAGCTGCCATGTGGTCACATGTATCCTTTTGCATCAATGTTAGCATGCAGGGCCCTTATATGCTTCTGCCTTCCTCTTCGTCTTCTTTCTTCAATAATTCTACTGGTTCTTATCGTAATAGCTGTATGATTTGTTATTGATCTTTTTGTCTATCAGGCCTATGGGGTGCAATGACTATGCTTGACTTGACTGGTGAAGATTTTGTTATCAATTAGGGGAGTGCTGACTCTTTGAGTACTATTTTATGGTATTCTTTACAAGAAACTTGTGCACTTCTTTCATGATTAATACATTTATGCTTATAATAGTGGCTAATCTTGCAGCAACAAGTTGCTTGCTTGCTTTCGCTCTCGACAGTAGACTCTTAGTAAATGGAAATTTCTTGGAACAGGACTAAACGGAACAACTGCCTTTGATATGATTAGTTTCGTATTTGTATTCTACACCCCCTGTTCATCTCATAGTAAACAGAACTCCTGTTAAAGGTTATTTTCCCAGTCATTTCAGATTTCATTTAATGAGAGTCTACTGTATTAAGCACTCGCATTAATGAAACTATTGTGCCCATTTCATCTAACTGTGCCATGCTGCTGCGAAACTGGCAAACATGCATGAAGCCTGGCATAGCAATAAAAACCTTGTAAATTCCAAGCCGTGTGCTGCACCACAATGTCTGGCTGACGTGTTCTAAGGAGCCTTGACTACCAATAAACAACTTTTCCTAACTATGCTGAAAAAGTGTTTCGGGGCCCATTGAAAGAAAGGGTAGAAGCCTTGGGTTAAATTCAGTAGTACACTGTTTAACATACTTGTAACATTTTTAGATTAAGAATGTTTAGTGCACATTAAACTGACAACATAAAATTCGTTAGTTGTACCAAAGAAATCTCTCCTACCTCGTCTAGTCCATAGTTGAAAACTGGCCCTAAGTTTCAACACTCATTCGGTCCGTCTTTTGGAGGGTGACTGTCTGGCCTATTCCAAAACGAATGTTTCTTAGTGGATGTCTCCCTCTCCGGTGTTGTTCTTTCCATCGTTCTTGTTAATGCGTTGTTATCTCCATTGGTTTCAGAGATTATAGGTGTGCACATCGTTCCTCATTATAAGGGGGAAAAAAAGGCTCGTTGCAGCGCCCCCCTTCCTATTAAGTCAATGTATGGGGCACACAGTGCTCCTCTCTCTCTCTCAGGTCACTTGGGGGAGAGGCAGCCCACCTTGACCCCATCTTCCCCCTGTGCACCGGTGACTGTGTACATATTTGCTCAGCAGGGCCCTAGTGGAGTGGTTAATATTTTGAGGTGGATTAACCGCTCAACTGGGACTCTGCAGAGCATGTATGTACACAGTCTCCGAAACCAACAGAGAAAACAAGGCACACAAAAAGAAGCGCAGTGCAGAGGGAGGCATTAACCAGGAAAATTCACTAGTTACAAAGCTGGCCGAACACTCCCCCCCTCCCTCCCCCCAAGAAGAGACTGAATTGGTCTCGAAATATAGGGCCAGAGTTAAATATTAACGCTGACTAAATCTGACTGGAGAATCTGTTTATTCATATAATTTTACCAAGCCACACAGATCTTTTTCAAATACATTTACCTTTAAATTTGTTTGTTATGTTTAATGCAATTCTGCAAGGCTATCGTATTTTCACGTGTATAGCCCACACCAAAAACCCGTAAATTTCAGTGGCCAGGTCGGGGTGTGGCAATACATAGGGATTTTCCTATAGGGAACCAGTGCTGGAGTTTCCACAGCTGCCCTGACGGTCAAAGGACTACTTCTCAGCCGCTTCCGCAGACGAGGGTATTGGCTGGTAGAGACAGTGCGGGCACACATCGCCGTAACAGAACTAAAAAGTGCTGGCGTTACAGTCGCGTATTCAAGTGCGACAATATGCAGAAAGAGGAAGGACGTATTCACCTACCTTTTGCTTCTTAATCATATCAATAAGAGAAGAGGTGGCGTTATCCAAGCGGTGAGGCGAGCAAAGTATGTTCTGCTCTTGCTCTCCTGTCAAGTGGTGTAAGGCTAGCAGGTTTCTAAACTAAACGGTGCGTGTCTGCTATATTTATTCGATAGTGAAGATGGCCACCAGTGGAAACCAAGGCCAAACAGTCGAACTTAAACGGCGTTTTGCTGGAAATGAAGTGAACGTCTTATGCAGCATATGGAATATGCAATTTTTTTTTATCTGGCCCGAATAGCGTCGAGTTATGCATCTCAGGACTAACAAAGTTTCTCATACATCCATCCATTCACCTGTCCGTTACAACCGAAATCCATATGATGTCACCACGTCAAGTAAATTATATGATAGGCAGGTAGTCTACATTATTTGTTAACAGTTACGTATAAAGAAAAGTGCCTTGTCTACAAGATTTGTGCGTGGGCATGTTCACCTACGCCTTTGAACTGTTATAAAAGATGTTCTCGTGGTGAATACTCGATGCTGAGATGCCTCTGTTTAACTTAATTTGTGCTGAAGGCAGGGTTCTTGTAAGGAACAAAGCAGCAGGTTACTCGAAGCTTAGCTTTCTGGAGTCAGCCAATGCTTTAGGCTTCTTTTTCAGTGGCTGCTGGCTAAGTAAGATCGCAATTCATGACTTGCTAGGGAATTATCAAATGTCTTCGATTTTTACTCGTCGTTTAGTTCGCTTAACGCACAGTTTCCGTTTTTCGGCTTGCCTGTGTTGGTTTAAAATAAAGATGTCTGTTCAACATTGATAACTGCTAGGCTTTCATTTACCAAACAAGATAATATTTTAAGGCACGCTGTAGTGTAATTATCAGGAGTAAATGCCACCACTTGGGGTTCTTCTATGTGGACATATATCTTAGTTCACGGGGGTTTTTTGTATATCACCTCCATCAAAGTGCGGAGGGCATAGCAGTACGACACCACAAGTTTATGCTACCATGGTGGTATGCTTGATCAGCGTCCACGGGCATATATAATGCAGACAGAGCGTATAAACTATGCTAGAAAAAAGACATCGACGTAGCTACCAATTCTCGTGTTTTTTTTTACTATATGCAGAAGTGGGCAGCGCGGTATCGTCACAGCATGAACAAATCAGTGGAAGTCGCCATCACGGCACAGCACTGTCCCATCGATGCCATATTCATTGATGCAGTCCGCTTTGCAGAACTTTTGTCCGTTTCCAGTGCTTTTTATGTAAGAGGCCTTGAAACAAAGATCTTTTTTCTGAACCACGGCGCAGTATCACTGGAGCAACGGCTTTTCGAGGTGTTAGTGCTCGAAAAGCCGAAAAATGAAGCTCGGCAGAGGTGCACGTGCATGCTCTCTCTGCGGTACACGGCGGCCGCCCATCTGGGCATGAGCGGCTGAGTTGTGTCGCGACTATCCGCCAGGTGCTCTTTTTCGGAGCGCCACCTTTCTAGCACTGGTCTCCCACAGTGCTGCTTCACAGCATTGCATGCTGTGCCGTGAAGCCTCTTAACACTATAGGTAAGGCTACGGAGGCAGTTTCCGCAAATTTGTATTGCTCCGCAAGTGGTACGGCAGCTTGTGACCGATTTTGGTTTTGCTTCCTTGCATCGTTCAAAGGTTTGAAGAAGCATTTGGGGAGAAAATGTGATCGTTCCTTGTAAACCTCACTGTCACAATACCAAGTATGTTTTTAGACGTTTGCGGCCGCACAGTGACCCTCCACCACCTTCCACGTGCCCCTACGTCACGGACGCCATGTTTAGCTTGGAAAAAGGCTTGCCGAAAAGATGGTGCTGTTTAAGAAATAGAAAGAAAAGGAAGGCATTTTTGCAAAGTGAACAATATCTGTATCTTACTTACGACTTCCTGCAGCCGTTTCAGGTGTTTCAGTGCCCTTTTAAAGGGGCCCTCAAACACATTTACAAGTAACCATGAAATTGATTCACTACAAGAACTTATTGCCTTATATATTCAATGCTGCAAAAATTTTAAGAATACGTCCAGTACAAGCGGAGTTACAAATATTTGTCGCACGCTGCAAATGCATTCTCTTTTCTCCCGTCCCCACGAAAGCACTGGAAGCTAAGTAGCGACTGATGGCCGGGGCAAAAAATTACGTCGTGCAGCTTGTGACTTTTAGCACTGTTTTATTTTTTTCTTCGAATACGCGACTTTTTTAGTGTTATCCCGCACACGTGGACAAGTCGCTGTCTGCCGCGGCGATTCCTATAACGACCGAACGCCATGTTTAACAAATCAGCCAATGGCTGATACATGGCCTTCTAAGAGTGATTTCTGAGTTTCTTCCGTCATTTTTCGAGAGAAGAGAGTAATTTTTAGCTGACTTTGATAATTCTGAATTGCAGGCCGCATGCTGTGCTATAATACTTAGCTCGCGTATTCTCTGTAATCCCCTATTACCGATTAGCAGGGTTTTCTGACCATGCTCAAAAAGTGTTGCAGGGCCCCTTTAACGTCCATCGTTCAAGCCTTTTCAAGCGATATTCGTGTGTGCGCAGTCTTTTATAATTCCTTGAACTTACGTTTGATGGCACTAAAAACGCCGTGCAGGTGGAAATCATGTGATATTTTTTTGAATTTCGCACACTTTAGGCAAAGGCTGAAAAAAAGTTAGGCTCTTGTTAATTTTTTTGTTGCTTGGTGCTTTTTAGTTGAAACACCCTGCATATTGTGTGACCTAAGTGTGGAATTGTGTTAGGCGTCAAAAGATGTCAACCCCGCCGCCGTGGTCTAGTGGCTAAGGTACTCGGCTGCTGACCCGCAGATCACGGGATCGAAATCCGGCTGCGGCGGCTGTATTTCCGGTGGAGGCAGAAATGTTGTAGGCCCGTGTGCTCAGATTTGCGTGCACGTTAAAGAACCCATGGTGGTCGAAATTTCCGGAGCCCTCCACGACGGCGTCTCTCATAATCATATGGTGGTTTTGGAACGTTAATCCCCACATATCAATCAAAAGATGTTAATTTAGTGATGATTGGGTGCTTTAAAGGCCCACCTATTACAAAGTGCTCAGACAATAATTATCGTGAGCAGCCGAACCTTCAATGAAGGTAAGAGCTGTGTAGGTTTGCTTGTTGCCCTAAGGGGGCGCAAATGGTCCTGCTGTTGATTCACAAGAGGAATAATTATGGACGAGTGGCCACTTAGCAACTATGCTTTTATTAGGCATTCAATGATACTTTGGAACCGCCAATGTTACGCACACACCGATTCATTTCATTACGGCACAGTTGAGGCATGCACCGAGAACCGAAGCAGGCTAGCAGTTCAGGAGGCGATGTGCACGAGGCCTGATTACGCTGTCGTGATCTACTCATGAAGGCAGAGCTCAAGAGTCCTCGAATTTTTTGTTATATGGTTAGGCGTATAAGAAATGACACTTTCTTTCACTGCATTTGGTCTCATACATGTTCTATGTCAAAAAATTTATTACTGACATCAATGCATAATCTAGTGTTAATGAAGGTAGCGACAGTGCAGTTACTAGTGCTAAGCATATTATTGTGCAGCAACCTGCTTATTTTTCTTGACTTTCAATGCATTCGAAAGATTTCATGAATTCTGCATCAGAGGTTGGTGCATTGTTGGAAAGAAGCAGACCTGCCCCTACTGCAAGGAGAAAGTGGACCTCAAGCGCATGTTCTGCAGCCCGTATCCTTCTTACATTTTTTCATGCATTACTTGTGTATAATAAGCATGATTAACTTTTCTTGATGTGTTCATATGCAATAATTGCCTCACTCATTTCCAGTAGTAGGGACGGCATTTAAGAAAAGTAAATAGTTAAATGAATCTGTGCATTTGTTTAGGTTATTTTATTCTTTCCATAATATTGTGGCATTTCTAGAAACACCAAGCCACAATTATGAAGCAACATGCGACAATCGAAGCAATATGAATAGAAGGAAACACTCATTATGCATTTAAAGTTTGTGTTCGCTGTTAGTTTCACTGGATCACTTCTTTTTTCTGCTTTTTGAAAAGTCGCAAGCAGGATTGCCTCTTGCTGTAAGAGTTTCCTCTGCCTTTGCAAAGATTCTAGAATTCATTGGGCAATATAATGTACAGTTTCCAGGTGACGATTGTGACTCATTGAAAACCATATGAATTGTCAAAATGTTGGATTTGCCACAAAATGAGTTTATTCTACAAGATGCCGAAAATGTGTCTTTTGTTGTCAGGTGCTTACTTCTGGTGATATACTTTTTTTTTGTAAGATTTCATGTAACCCTTGCCACACACCACACCAACCCTGTGAAAAAAAGCAGATGCTGTATTTACTGAACTCGTGCGACAAATTGAAATCGGCCCTTGCAGCTTTTTCAGTGTACTAGTAGCTAAGCTTGCCTGGTGTTGTAGGTGGAGGCACCAACAATGGGTAAAAACCAAAATATGTACTATCACTATTCCTGCTGGACTTGGTGGCCGAACTAGCATGCATTTATACATGTTTCATTTCATTTATTTGGTTTAGCTTAATCTGGTTTATTCGAGACAAAATTGTTACGAATTGCCTGGAGGGGGGGGGGGGGGTACACAGTTAAAGGCTGAGTAATCGCTTGACTAGGTTGTGTAACCGTGGCAGTAAAGGAAAAAAAAAAACAAACAGAAGAAACACACCAGCAAGCATTATTAGTACAGAATGCAATGGTACACATTGTTCTACCTTGGGTCCGAGATTTGACAAAATTATGGGTACTCTAAAATATAAACACAGTTGTCGTTAGACTGATGGCAATACAACAAATGCTTGCTTATAATCAACTTCAGGCAAAAAAAAAAAGGTTTTCAGCTTGATTGCAAGTGAACTTCACAAAAATATAAACACAACATGCTCTAATTTATAATATTCCGTAATAGTATTCCAAGCCAGCCCCCCCCCTCCCAATAAAGTTGAAATTACCAGCAAAGGGGGGGGGGGGGGTGCTATTCCGGAACGGCACCAAAATTGAAGAAGGTGGCAAAATTTTTGTGTATAGAAAAAAACACAGTGTGGATGTATTAAAATTTTATTACTGTGAACTTCCTTCCCAGGCCCATGATTCGTTGTATCTTTTAATCGCTTTCAAAACCATCGAAGGACTCCTCCGAGTCGGTTGCAGAAAACAGGTCGCAGCATTTTGCTTGAAGTCCGCCGCGGTCTTCTGGCACCACAGCTCCGATATCGGCCAGTCCGCTGCGCAGGTTGCCGTTCTCCGAGCTATCAAGCGTGTTACTAATACCGCATTCCTTAAAGGACTGTCCCACTGTCTCCTTGGGCACAATGGCCCACGGATCAGCAGCTAAATCGAGCGCATGTTGCAGCGACGGCTTTTTCAAGTTTCCATTCGGTGTTCGTGCTTCGCTCATAAACTGCTCCCACAAACACCGCAAGGTAGACTTGAACGGCTTATTTAGACTTGAACAGCTTACGTAGAGCAGCTTGGTGTCGTACTCCTCGAAGGCATTTGTGGAGGCTTGTGTCTTATGAATGGGCGCCTGGCGTAACACTTGTAAGCGTCGCACGTAGTCAACGTTTGGGCCCCAGACTCTCAACAGCCATCCTTACCTTTTATTTGATCTCATCCAGCCGTTTTACATGGCGGTGAGACGAACATTTGCTACGAACGATAAAAGAATTCAGCGTTGTGATAAAAGGACAATATACCGTATTTACTTGCATAATGAACGCACTCCCAACTTCAGCTGTCAAAACTTGGATTTTTCTTTTCCTCGCATGTAAATGTACCCCATACATTCCACTGCTGTTATGCTAACAGACACCTGGGGCCTCCTTGCCTGTTGGATCTCTTCTGTTCTTCATTATTATGCCAACCCCCCACGGCCACCTCGGCTCGCTCCCCCCCCCCCCCCTTTGCCCGCTGCCACATGTTGTATAGTTTTTCTTTCTATCTGTGTGTGGCACGTATTCAGTCTTTTTTAAATACCTGTGCACCACAAAGGGGTTCATGAACAGCCCGAGTGTAGAGACATCGCAGCTGACAAGCACACAGTGAACGAATGTCATGAAACTTCCCGCTCCAACCGACGGTCGTTTCCTGCTAATGCGAAACATTAAGGCCCAACCACATGCATGCAATTTTCTAGCGATGACAACAGAATTTGCTGTTGCTATGGCTGTCCCGTAGGGCCATTAGTCATCATCGGGTCGCAGGTTTCTGGAAAACCAAAAAAAAATCGCTTGTAGCCTGGAAAAGATCGTGACTATTTCTGTAACATGGTCCCCGATTCTTGCTTTGATTGCAAGTAAGTTGGACGCTGTATTTTGTCGTTAATCTTGTTATCTACGGTTTGTTTGGTCGCTTCGGTGGTAGCCTGCTGCAATGTCAACGGTATCGTCGCAGTTGTCGTGCGAAGTTGCCACGAAATAGGCTAAGTGCGTCGTGGCGTCATAGCGCATGCTTCTCGGTGTCCCTCGAAATCACAGCAGATACTACTGTTGCAGTTAAATGATTGCAAGAAAAATAGCCGTGAAACGTTTTTATGGTGTGCACGACGGGCGGCGCGGGAACAGCTTGCAGGAATAGCGCCTTCGACCACCAAAGATGAGGGAAGTGCTGAGCGACTGAACTTTTTTTTTTGCATTACCCCATTTTTCGCTCATACCGAAAAAGCTTTTCTAAAATTTCCTTCACAAAATACATGCACCCCCAACTTTGCTCCAATTCTTCGAGAAAAAAGTGCATTCATTATGTGAGTAAATACAGTAACCTCTCGCCCCCATCAAGAAAATAAAATTATTCTCACCTGGTAAGCGAAGGCTCCCAAAGGCCCTTGCTGGAATTTTTCCACTTAGCTCTTTGAGGATGATGAAGGCCGGGAGCTTCTGGCCAGTGGCGTAAGCAGCTAGGCAAACCGTGAATCCTCCCCGGGCACATTTAGTGTTGGCAATCTATATGGTGCTTTCACCGACCACGTTCATCCTGTTTGTGGTGTTGTCTATTCGCACCATCGTCTGATCCATGTTGGCCATGTTATATAAGGTGTAGCCGTTGTTCCGTCGCAGTGAGTTCGCGGAACACCGAACGGCACTTGCTACCTCCGATAGTTTCTCAGGTGTCTTCTGGCTCTCGTTCGTAGCGCGGCGCATTGGGAGGCCGAACTGCTGTTTCTTGCTATTTATGTAATGGCTGGAAGCTATGAAGTTTCCCAACTGCATGCTGTTAGCAATTTTCATGGCCTCTTCAGAAAAAATCCGATTGCTGATGACACGTCCTGCACTTCTTTTTACTCGCATAATTCGCTCTCCCCGACCCGTCTGAGCCAGCTCGCTGGTGTGCGCACCTTTGAACCTTTCGATGGTTTGGTCGGGTGCACGCCTCGCCGAGCAGATGAGAGCAGTCAAACAGGCTGCCCCTGCGAAGTCCCTGCTTCCGATGACTGCCCCAAACTAGGGTCCCTAGAATACGGCACCCAAACACGAACCAGTTCACGGGTCGCTGGAACTGTTCGAGCGTATGTTTCCCCCTATCTCCCAATCTCTACCACCGCGATAATGGCGAGAATGCATGCCCACGTCACGGTACAGAAGACTTTGTGCATTGGAGGCGAGCAAGGGCCTGTCGTGCCAACTGTTCCCCTTGTTCTCTACGTCCGCGCTGCAACGCATGCTCGGTCAATTTCGGAAGTTTATGTTTTACCACCTGGCCGAGGCGTTTTGATGGTTCCCTTGCGATGTGCTGCAGTAATTATATTGTGGGCATTTAGTATACCAATCCTCTTCATCTGTACATTATCATCATTAACATGTATTGCTCATGCATCCTCATCGTTGTCACGTATTATCATCATCTTGGTTCGTGCATCTCCGCTGTCGGCTGCCGGTTCCTCGGGCCTAATAAAGGTCTTCCAAACCAAGACTTCATACGTGGTGGAGCGTGCTGTTAGATCCCTCGTCATCCTCTCGACCACTCTACCCCCTGGAGCTACGTTCAGGTCGCCGCTTGGGCCAGGTGTCCGGAAATATGCCGCACCAAGAAGAGGTCAATGCTGCAATCGTTCCCACTCCGCCACCGCGTGCCGCGCCTTTTCACATCATTAACAGACCAAGACTTCATACCAAGACTTCATACCAAGACTTCATAATATGTACGGCGAAATTGAATCTCGCTGTTGTGTATTTTTGTCAAGGAAAACGGGAAGCGTGCGGCCAAAAATACTTCAAGGGGACGTATTTCAACTTTCAAGCCGTACGCTAGAAAGCAGAAAAGTACGCACTCATGCAAGTTCCTGCCGTTGAATGAGGCCCTTTCAATTATTTTCGAATGCTTAGTTCTTCCGGCAATTCCGTGTCGTGAGGCCTAGTTTCTTCCAGCATTGTCGAAAGAGCTTCAAGAAAATATGATTACCAATCAGACTTCGCGATCATTGATTCCCACTAGACCGCGCGTGACAGGATCTGACTAGGTAAAGTACACGCTAAGCCTTTCAAAATTAGCAAGTGCACGTAGTGTTTGTGCTCCAATTTATTTCTTTTTTTCATAATTGTATATACTGCGAGCGTTAGGACTGTGGCACAATATTTCGTATGTGCTGGCAAAATCTGCATCATTTGCACACCCTCTTCTCGGGGCCCCAAAAGGGGAAAAAAAAAGTGTGCAAATTATGCGAGTAAATACGGTGCATAGCAATTGTGGGCTTACTGGCGAGGCTCAAAGGAAGTTCTAATAATCGAGAATGTCCGACTTATCAGTCGTTGAAGGCTCTACAAAGATAATAGTATACAATTTTGATTAGCACCTGAACCTTGTGCAATTACCCTGTTTCCACAAATGTTTTCTGTTTAATTTATAATGACTTTAGTCACTCTTTGTTTAGCTTTTATTGTGTATGAAAACATCAAAAATGTGGCTATATGTAAGACAAAGTAAAATAGCAAGGTTAAATGAATATGACATGTATATTTGTAGTATTGAATACTCGTAGAACTTTATTATTGATATGTCTGTGTAGGTTTTCAGAGCTTAGTTTTGCCACCAGTTGTACTTTCGAAGTTTGTTTTTAAGCATTTTGAGAGGTCCTAAAATTTAGTGCTTCTGATTTAATACTTTATTCAGAGGTCGTGTTCATGTTGAGCTTGTGCTCTATAAATTCTTGAACTGCCTTTTTTCTTAACCTTGACTGTAGCTGGGAAAAGCCACACATTCTGTACGGAAACTTCTTGGACTTCATTCGCTACCTTCTGGTGTGGCAGCCAGTGATCATCATGGCAGTGCAATTTCTGAATTCGAAACTGGGACTAGAGTGATTATGCATTCACATCCCTAAAATGCACATAGAATGCTCATCTCACATTGCATTTGTCTCATTCTCTCTCTGCTCTTTTGTATAGAACACAGCTGTATATTTGTTGAACTGACCAAATGGCATATTAAACTATAATTTTTTGTTTATGCTGACTCTGGCTTCTTTGTTTGAAGATACCGATGAGGACATTTATGTTGGCATGTTTTCGCAAAGAAATATTTGTAAAATACAGCTATCCTTACCTGAAAGGACCTTTGCTCCTAGCTGCCATAGTCAGCCAGCATGCTGAAACTCATTTTCATTCCTCATGCTTTTTTCATTCTTCTAATCACACGTGCACTTCCAGAGGTATTATAATCTGAAGGAAACAATTTACTATGCATACCTTTTTGTGCTAGGATGGTACCCCAAAATCTGGGTTTATATATTTTAGAAATAGTTTTTCTGTGTGTTAACCACAGCTTCTTTTCTAGATAGTAGACATCACTGGTCGTGCTATGCTATCAGCATGGTAGACAGTTGCAGAGTGGCCTCCTTGGTTCTACTCGCATAACTCCTTGGTTCTACTCGCATAACCTTTGTTGAAAAGCCCGACTATCTTGTATTATTATTTCTTTTTGTGGCCCATAGCGCTCATTCGCTGGCCACAATGCTGGAATTGCAATGTCTCGTATGCAGCTTCATGCTCGCCTGCTACGTTTCTTGTGCATGACGACGCTCCCGTGTAGCCGTAAAGATATTGCTATGTTATGAACTGTAAAGCTATGTATACAAGATTTCACGCGAGAACTTGAGTAGTTGTTTTGCTTTAGAAATTATATGGCTTCTCCAGTCCCATTTCTGCCGTCGCCATGAGGTTTCGTACAAAGTCCAATTCCACAACATGGCCCAACGAGTCGTGCGTTCGATGTGAGTGCAAGTGAGCGAAAGCAACTGGCAAGCGCACAGGAACGCGCCGGCCATCCTGTCGCACAGGAGGGTGGCTGCGTCGGATCGGTCGGGCCGGTACGCAAAGATAGGGCGTGGTGGCGCCCTGCCCTTTCTTTGTGCCGGGCCCGACCGATCAATTTATAAAGCAGAGGCTGTTGCAGCCAAAATCTGATGCACCTCCCCACCTGTTGCTTTCTCGTGCGATGAGGATGAGAGACAGTGACACGTTTTCTCTCCCCTTGAGCGGCTGCTCTCGCGTGCTTTCACTAGCACACGGAGCGTACGACTCGCGGAACCATATTATCGACTTTATACGGAACCTGACAGCAATGGCAGAGATGCGACTTGTGTGTAAATTTGTTAGTCACCGCGCGCCCCCAATTGTAGCCTCTAATGTCAAGCAGCTGCTCAATTGCAGGGTATCTTACGCAAAATATCAGTTCTGCTAAAATACGCAATGTATAGAAAGTTTCATGAAACAGAATAATCGTAATAGAATGAATAAATCTCCATACAACCAGTATAATTAAGTCGTCTATGTGGACTTTATATCAAGCTGGGAACAGACGTGGCCCACTGATTCACGAAATAAAAGTTGTGCGTTCTGCTTGGCCGCCTAATTCCTGCATGTATTTCAGCGCTGCTTCCGAGGAGACCTTTAACTTAGAATGATTGATGTGCGGAATCGTTCACAGTTCAAGTTCTAGGCACTGTAGTTCAAGACATGTCAGTGCTTGTTAGCGGTATTGTCAAAAGGCGTCGCGAAGAGTCTGATAGACCAACAGACTCGCGAAATTATGTACATTGATTATAATAGGCACAGCGTGAATCGCACATACTGATATAAGTAAAAAATACTCAGTCAAGTTGATATTTTTATTTATTTTTTTATTTAATATACCTCAAAGACCCTCAACAGAGGGCTTTACGTGAGGGAGTGGGCAAACAATATAGAGTTAATAAAACAACGATTCTATGGCATTCCGAAAGGTATCTGTGCTGGAACGGCCGACGACACTTGAGGGAAGATCGTTCCAGTCCCTGGCTGCCTGAGCGAAAAAGCAATGATGGTGGGCTGTGGTGCAAGTAGGAGGGGGGTAGACGGCCTTGTGGTGACTTGTGTGGGCTGAAGTCCAATGGGCTGGTTGAATAGGGGAGTTATGATGAAACGCATGATACATTTTGTGATAAGAGGGCAGTCTAGAAATCTTACGACGTAGGTTATGGTTAGGTAAACCTGCCTTACACTAAAGGGTGGTAACACTGGTGTGATACGAGTAATCTGAATAGGTGAACCTAACTGCGCGATTTTGAAATAGTTCGTTGGATTAAGTTACTTTGTGGTGGGTCCCAAATGGCTGATGTGTATTCTAGTTTTGGGTGAATTGGGATTTTGTAGGCTAGTTGTTTGAAGTAGGGGCAAGATGTATGTTACAACGAAAGTAACCAACAGCTTTGTTAGCATTGTTAGCTAGTTTACTTATGTGAGAAGACCAGTTTAGATTCTGTGAAATGTTAACGCCGAGATATTAAATACAGCTGAGAGTTGAAACTGTGCAGCCATTAATAATATAGTTAACAGTGGCAAGGTGCCGGTGTCTGTGAAATGAGACAGAGAGAGCATTTCTCTCTTTTCTACTTCTGCGCGAACGTCGCTGTAAGCATAGCTGTATAGCCCAGTTGGAATGACCTACAATACAATTGCATGCAGAGGCCCGTACGCTCTTAAGACGCCTCTGGGACCAGCACCTCGTGCTTAGAGGAGCACTACCAAATAAAATCAGCCCAATATGCGTGCTACAATATAGCCACCCGTCGGAATTCCGGGCGCCTTTTATGTCCGTATACGCTTGAGATCGATTCATCGAGCGCGGGGAGGTATTCGCGCTTGTGCTAAACCCTGCGATATTTGAAGCACTCTGCTAACGAGCGCACAGCACGCAACTGTCGGTATAGTACCAGTATGCACTTGCGGCAATCATATTATTAACGAACAACTGCGACAAGAACAGGCGCGCTCACAATGTATGGGCTCATATCGATCTCGGGCGGCTAAGCGTCGGTATTATCGAGTGTGTTTGGCCCTGGCGAAATAAGAATGCACGCTACAGCGATTGCTCCACAGTCGCCGCTCCGTTGTGCTGATATTCGACAAATGTGTTTATACACACTCGCACGCATGCACACGCACATTGTTGGCAGTAAAATGGCGTTGATGCTATATATGGTTGGCGGGGAAGTAGCGCATAGCACTCACTTCCTGTTAAAGAAAAAGAGAGAAAGTTGCAAAAGTGACTGATGTACAGTACGGTCCACTGTTAAAGGGAACACTCGGACGAGCGTCTTCCATTCCATATTGCTGGCCTCGTGGAGCATGGTTCATGTATGGCTCGAGTGCATCAATTGTTAACCAATAGTAATCTTACGTGATTACTAATTAGTACGCCATTTCTAGAGAGGAACTTATGAATATGCGCTGCACGCAAGTGTTCCCTTTAACACTGTCTGTACACGGACTCCTCGACTCACGTTTTGTGTCTTCTGAAGTTATGTCAAAAGTTGTCTAGCAGTAATGATGCGCGCTGTATATGCATTGAATGGCAAGTCGTAAATAACTTCCCTTTGTTGCACGAAAAAAAAAAAAAAAAACGACACGCTCAATTTCGCCGCATATTCTACAAAAAAAAAAATGGCAGCATATCCACGGAGTGAATGATGGAGAGTGGGGCGAATTCGTCCGTCCATTCGTTCTTGCTTCCGTCCGTCCATGCGTCCGTCAGTGTGACCGCCCATACGTCCATCAGCCCGTCCGTGCGTGCGTATGTTCGTGCGTCCGTCCCTGCGTTCGTCCATGCAGCCGCCTCTGCGTCCGTTCATGCGTCCATCCATGCATCTGTCTATGTGTCCGTTCGTCCATCTATTCAACACTCCAAGTACCACCATCTCGCATCTTTGCATCATATATGGATGGATGGATGGATGGATGGATGGATATGGTTGTACCCTTTAGATCGGGCGGTGGCTAGCGCCACTATTGGATGGATGGATGCTATGAGCGTCCCCTTTATAACGGGGTGGTGACAAGTATGCCACCAGGCTCGACAAAAAAAAAAAAAAAAACCTTTTTTCTTTTTTTTTTATGTTGGCCTAATGCCTCTACTTCGATAAATTCTATCTTAATGGAAAAAAGGTAAATTTTCAGCTTAAGTTCTCTGCCATTTACGGCACACTGTCCATATTTTATTTTTCCAATATTTATTTTTGTCCTTTCTCTCTAATTTTCTGCCACCAATACTCTAACCGTATCTTACTTATTTCAATCGCGGGTGTGTTCAGCTTTCCATTGTTGTCCCTAAAACCCAAGGCTTCCTGTAGGCTCGTGCCCAAACGTACACCTGGGTGGATATCTCCACATTCAATCAGAACATGCTCCGCCGTTTCCTTATCTTTCCCGCAGCATGTGCATTGTTCTTCTTCTTTACTGAATCTTGCTTTATAACTACGCGTTCTAAGGCAACCCGATCTCGCTTCAAACAGTAAAGCGCTTCCCCTTGAATTATCGTAAAATGCCTCCCTCCTTATTTCATTTTTGCCCTTTCGGTAGTTACTCAAAGCCGGTTTTTTCTCCATAGCTGCCATCCAGTAAATCCTCTCCGCCTCCCTGACTTTTCCCTTAACGCTCTTTGTTGACATATGGCTCACAATACCAGCCGTATATTTACTAGTGAGTCTTCTAGTCCTTTTTCTCCACTGTGTGTCCACGCTCTTCCTATACAAATAACGGAACACCTTCTCTGCCCATCTACTCTCCTTCATATTTCTTAGCCTTTCTTCGAACCTTATTTTGCTCTGCGCTTCCCTCGCCTCAAAACCTGCCCACCCCATATCGCCGTTTACAGCCTCGTTTGTCGTCTTCCCGTGAGCACCCAACGCGAGGCGTCCCACAGTCCTTTGATTTACATCCATTCCCGATTGCACCTCTGCCCTCATGCACACCACTGAGTTCCCAAAAGTAAGCCCTGGAACCATTACACCCTTCCACAGACCTCGAAGCACCTCATACCTATTGTATCCCCACAACGCTCTGTGCCTCATTATTGCCGCATTCCTCTTTCCTTTTGCTGCCGAGGCTTTTTCCTGTACCTCCATTCCCCATATAGAAGCACCGCCATCCAGCGGACATTCCAAGGACTAAACGAGAGGTGGCACACGCACACTTTCT